TGTCCTCTGAAGATGCCGGCCACAGAGACTGGCAAAACGTTAGGAAGAACAACCTTCAGAACATGGCCAAAGAGCCCGAAAAACCAACAACAACCAATGCTAGAAAGTTTGTGCAAAAATTAGTGGAAATGTTGCTCCCTTGTTCTGTATAACTATGCCTTCATATTGACTCATTATGCTATACTCATGATCAACTCATATTAATCTGTAAAAATATAATAACATTGTGCTATGTCGATAAGTGTAAATGAAACCATGTAATACAATGAGTGCATGATGCAGTTGACATTTACTTTATTTAATTGGCCCATTGCATATATTTTTCTTTTCATTTTTCTTCTTTGGGCATTGCAGGAAAAACTAGCTAGCTAGAAGCTAGATGTATTGTATTTTATGGTTACAGTTCAGGTTCTCTTGCTTTTAAAGGACTTAGCATAGGACTTACGGAGGACCTAAGTTTTCTGAACTGCACATTAAAGATCAATGGCATTTGTGTGGCAGCATGTTGGACTTTGGACTAGAGACCCAGGTCCAAAGTCCTACTCTGTCTTGAAGCTCAATAGATGTCCTTCAGCCAGTCACACATGATGGAAGGGGGAAAAACAGAACCACACATCTTGTCCTGGGCTCCTTAAAGAAGGCCTGGAGTATGAATGCAATATATTAAAAAAATAAAAATGGTCAAGTTATCCAGCCCTATTCTCTGGAACTGGGTTAGAGTGCACAAGGGGAATAAAAGTTGACTGTTTATGAAAATGAAGGCTTTCCTGCTTGCTCATTAAGTATTTCATAAAAGTGTTAGCATTCTAGGGGAGCAGCCATGTTAACCGAATGCAATCAAAACAATAGTCTTGTCGCATCTTTGAAAGCTACCCAGTTTTGTTTGGCAGAAGCTTTTGTGTGCCACAGCACACTTCATCATACCTCTTGCCTCTGATGAAGCCCTTCCCTGAAGTTGAGGGAAGGAGAAAATGACTCTCAGATGGGTTCAGTAGTTCATGCTAGTTTGTTTATCAGCCAAACCGGTGTTCAAAGCCCACCTCCTCCAGCAGGCACACACTCAGAGGCAGCACCTAGAGGAGGCAGACCACTGGATGTCTGCTGGAGGAGGCAGGACTTTGAAACGCTGAACACTTGTTCAACCAGTAAACAAACTCGGAGAAACCACTGAACCAGCTGCCCCCGCCCATCTAGCCCAGCTTCTTGTGCTTAAAAAAAAAAAAGCCTGATGTAAATCTTGAGCTTGCCAACTGCATATTTTGTGTTCTCTCTTTCTCTCATACTTTAGTTATTGTTTGTGTGTTCTTTCAATAGCGGAGAAAATCCATTTGCTACCGTGAAGCTCCGACCAACAGTAACAAATGACAGATCGGCACCAATCCTCCGATGAGCAATATTAACACTTACCCTTCCCTGTAAACACTACACTGTCTTGAGCAACATGATTTTCGTATTCTATCTAGTATTGTTCTTTTAAATTTTTATTTAACTCTCGTGTGTACAGTAGCAAAATGTTCGAGCAGATTTCAGGATTTTTAAGATTTTTTTGCTTCATAGATCAGCTAATTATTGATGGGTTTAAGATGCTTGAAAATTCTCTTGATCTTACAGTGTGCCTTGTTCTTCTTCGTGGGCTCTGTGAATCACATCCTGGGTGCGCAGAGCCTCATCAGAAAGTTCTGTGGTAGCAAAAAAACACATTAGAATAAGGCCCCTCCCTCCTCGTATAAGTACCTTGGCACCAGTTTCTTTCAACCGCTGCATTGAGACCCTCATAGTTCTGCTTCTGTGAGTAAAAGAGTGTTTATTCTTGATTCCTTCCTGTTTAAAATCTTTTTCTTTTAACTA